TGGGGAGAAAAGAAGAAAAAGAAGAAAAAGAAGAAAAGAAAGAAAAGAAAGAAGAAAGAAGAGTGACACAAAAGAAGCTTTTAGCCTGCTCATCATTTGATTATGTACCCGTTTTGTGAAGAAAGAGTTTTGAAAATCGTTGGGAAAATATAAAGAAATGCAAAAATTTTATCAACATTTTATCGTTGATAGAATTTAGAAACGAAAATTTGATGCAAAAATCACCTCATCAAGCTCCGAGTAGTGCATGACGGTGGTGGTCATCTCGAGCATTTCGTCTCCAATTAAAATCGAATGCTTAGCTGAATCTCAGTCTTAGATTTTTCTAGGATTGTTCTTGGCCCTGCAGGGGTGTGCAAGGGTCTGCAGGGGTAGTCTTGCTTTGCTGTGTTGTGCAGAGGCTGCAGTCTCCGCCCTCTCCTCCCCCACTCCTCCCCCTCCTCCCCCTCCTCCCTCTCCTCCCCTCTCCATCCGCTATAGGTTCACCCTGCTTAGGCTCCGCCCCCAAATTTCCCTTACTGCTTTTAGCTTTCCCTTTTTGCTTCTAACTATGCCATTTCTCTTTTCAATCACTGGCACGCGAGTGATTATTGAACAACACAGTCTCGGCACATTTCCCCCGTTGACTTGGAAATAATGCGAATTCCAACCCGATTTTTCGCGAGAGAATTTCACTATCAATCTTTTTTTGGGATAACGAGTATTCTCGAGAAATTGAAAGACCGCAAATCACGGATCTTTTTAAAATCTAGATTTAGTTGTAGATGTTCTTGATAACCTATTTGGGAATGTTTTTGATTTTGTTATTTTTGCGCTTTTTGTAAGTTCAAGAGATCAATAAAGGGGAAGTCACAGAAAGCGTACAATTATGCTTGGAAAATGTACGATTATGCTTGGAAAGCGTACGATTATGCTTGGAAAACGTACGATTATGCTTGGAAAGTATATGATTATGCTTGGAAAGCGTATGATTATGCTTGGAAAGGGTACGATTATGCTTGGAAAACGTACGATTATGCTTGAAAAGCGTACGATTATGCTTGAAAAGCGTACGATTATAAAGATTGATTAGAGCAATTTTCTTCAATAGCAATTTTTTCAATATAATAGCAATTTGACAATAGAGAAAGAGCACTTGTAGACTTGGAAAGAAAAAGAGAAAAAAGACATACAATCAATTTCCAAACATTTCCTGTAAAGGTAAATCTAAAAGTTTTTTGCTTTTGAGTGTAAACAAGTGATAATAGATTGATATAAATTGATTTTTACATAAAATTTATTAAAGAAGAAACTTACTTTAAACTCTTTATTCTCTCAAAAACTATTCTTTTTTTATTAAATGATCATTTTTTAAATATTAAGCTTTTCAGAAAGTCTTTTTATTTATTTTCAATTGAAAAATAATGAATACAGATTTTTTTTTTGGTTTTAAAAGAAAGGAAAAGATTTTTTGAAATAACTAGCATCTAATAACGACTATTTTCTTAAAGCATACCGTAAATACTATAATAGTACCCCCACCCCCATAATGACGGTGCGGAGTGTTGCGTAGTCTAGCTTTGAACGAGTTTTTCTCGACACTGGTTTATCTACGCGCGCAGGTATCAAAAATAGCCATGATTTTCAGCTATTTTTGCTGAGCGCGCATTGTAGAGGGAATACGCTTATCTTGATCAAAAATAGCCCTGAATTTCAGCTTTTTTGATACCAAAGACGCATGTTTTGAAAGTGACGGGTGCTTTGAAAAAATGAAATACTAAAAAACTTTTGTGACTAGGCGACTGTACGAGGCGGGGTGGTGGACTATTACAGTATTTACGATAAGTAAACCATTACTAACCTATACTATAAAGCAATAGTCTCTAAATCATCGTAATACCTACCGTAAATACTGTAATAGTACCCCACCCCCATAATGACGGTGCGGAGTGTTGCGTAGTCTAGCTTTGAACGAGTTTTTCTCGACACTGGTTTATGCTACAATGCGCGCTTAGGTATCAAAAAATAGCTGAAATTCAGGGCTATTTTTTGATACCAAAGACGCATTTTTGAAAGTACGGGTGCTTTGAAAAAAATGAAATACTAAAAAACTTTTGCGACTACGCGACTGTACGAGGCGGAGTTGGAGACTATTACAGTATTTACGGTAGCTAATTTTTAGTAAAATAATGTACTCTGTTTAAGAATTGATCCAAAAGTGATAGTCTCTATGACTAAAAGTCTATCCAGAACATTTCCAGAACATACTAACATACTGTTTTGGATAGACTTTTAGTCATAGAGACTCATGGTTGTTTTGGTTGGTTTACTAACCATAAAAGTACTCTAATCAAAAAGCTGCTGTCTAAAATATGAAAAGAATTGAGTAGTCATAAGCCGTATTTTCTGTAATAGTAGTGCAGGCCCCCCTCCAGCAGGGGGATTGAAAAAATAATAGTGCGCACTACTAGTCCCGCAGTTTTCAATTCACCACACCAATATTACAGAAAATACGGTATTCACTTACAACCAGTTCTACGCCAACGATAACATTGAAAATTTCAAGGAAAAAAAAAACCAAAGAAAGTGTGAAAAACGTTATGTAATCGTGTTCTTTCTTTTCTTGAATTTCCTTCTCATTTCTGAGTTGGGTGTGGCAGAGCGCAGCAAACACGAAATAGTAATCAAAACATGAGGTTCAGAGGGGGGACATTCTCCTTTTTTTTTTACTAAATTTTTCTTATCTTTCCCTTTCTTTCAAAACCAGATGATTCACTTGACCAGATCCGTGTTTTTCCATTGTCTACTTTCATTTTTTTCAAAATCACGTAAGCCAAATTATGATCGATAAAATTACTATGGTAAAATTACTATGGATTGCATAGCAATAGAAAATGGTACCGTATTTCTTTGGCTACAATACTATTGCATTACAGAGCTACTGTTTAATTGTGAGTGCTAAAACGTGCCAACTTTGGAAACTATTATGGCCTTTCCCTTTGTTTTAACCTACCGTAATCTTGACTTGGCGAGTAAATAGATTGAATAAAAACTATAGACTATAGAACTATAGACTATAAAAACTATAGAACTATAGACTATAAAAACTATCTAACTATAGAACTGTAGAGCTACAGACTAAAAACTATAGACTAGAAACTATAGACTATAGAACTAGACATAGAACTATAGACTATAGAACTAAAGACTATAGAACTATAGACTATAGAACTATAGACTATAGAACTATAGACTATAGAACTATAGACTATAAAAACTATAGAACTATAGACTAAAAACCTATAGGTTACGGTAGTTTTTAAAAGTTCATACGTTTTAGGAAATAAACAAAAGTCTGATTGTAGTAGGCTCATTGGCTACTGTAGCTGATATCCGTGATGAAACTTGAGCCAATTGTAAAGTGTAAAGTGTATAGTGTAAAGTGTAAAGCCTAAGTCTAAGTCTAAGCCAAGTTGAAAATTGACATCTTAAACTCGAATTAGAATCTTAAAAATTAGCATTTACACATTGTCAAATCATTTCTCACAATACGGTAAAGGATTGAGAGAAAGGAAAATGGAAAGAGAAAAAGAGAAATTTGCAAAGAGAGAGCATTTTCGCGTATGACGAGAACGCATAAAATCTCGTGAAGCCGTTTTCGCGTCTCGACAAATGGCTAGAAAATCATTTCTCTTAAAAATAATCAAATTTTTGCCCATTTTACAAAATTTTCTTCCAAATAACTAGTCATTTTTTTTTCTCAAAATTACAACCCCATAAAATGTCTGGACTCTCATTGGTAGTCGAGACGATTTACGAGGGGTTTTTTTTTATCGAAAATCACTTACCTTCACTTAGATTTTTACAAAATACTACAGTAAAAATATTGCAAATTCAATTTTTGATATTTTTGATATTTCAAACAATTCAAAGAAACATGAAAGGCTTTCATTGAAAGCTAAATCAAACTTAAAAGTTTTCTAAAACGTATCAACTTTTGAAAGCTACCGTAACCGTACTTTTGAAAGCTACCGTAACCCTTTTTCTATCCCACAGAGAATCAGCCCAGAATCCATAGAAAACAGAGGCAAATAACGGTAGACTTTTAAAGTTGATACATTTTAGAAAACTGTGAAACTCAAACAAAAAAAAAGAAACACAACTCTATATTCCTTCAGCGAACGAATCTTCATTTCCACCGTCTCACCTCCTTTTTTGGCAACAAAAGTGTCCGAGAAGAGAGTGTTTTTTGTGGCTTTTCCATAATTTCCCTGTTCTATCATCATCCCGTTTCTCCTTTGATGTCGGAGAATGAAAGGCAACGATCTCAATCTCGACACCGTTTCACTCAACACATATTTCATCAAAAAACGATCGGGAGAACGGTTTCTTCAACAAGTGTTCACGCAATTTTATGTTCTGATCGAACTCCAGATATTGTTGCTCAACTCTTCAAACACTTGACCCAAATGTGAGAGCTGATCAAGGAAAACTGTAAAGGTATTGCAATTTTTACCAATTGCTATCCAATCTCACTAATCAGCGTCATAAGAGAAAGGTTTCAAAAACCAACGAACTTTTCGAAGGGTCAAACTGTGGATTTGATAAATGACTGCCCGATTCGAGTATGCTAACCAGTAAAACGTCTCTGTGCTGGATTAATTGAAAGAAAGTCTGAAAACTTTCGCGCCATTTGTGGAAGAGAGAATCTAAGAGGGGAAATTGGAGAAAATTCGGATAGTAAAGCTCATTTTTCACCGTCCGATTAGGTAAACTATGCGTGGACATCCCAAGGTCACTCAAAGAACCCCGGAGAATTGAGACAAATAGCCTCTCTGTTTTGCTTTTCCAATGACCTTTAAGGTCTTGCCATTTGACAAAAAATTTCTCGTAATATCTATACGAAAAACGGGGCAACTTTTATAATATAACTATAACAAGAAATAGGTAACAAATAATTTTTCGGTAACACAACAAGAAGCTTAACAATAATTGATAACAACAAACGAGGATTTAGCTTACTGTTGCTTGCCTTGACGAGATGGAGTCTTTCCTGGAATGGAAAAAAACTGAAAATCAGAAATATAGCTCTAACCTTTAGTTGCTTTGGGTGTTGCAGCTTCTTTACCGGCGGTCTCCTAAAAATATTATAGTAAAGTAAAAAGAAGATAGATTAGCAAGTTCTTAAGACTATACATCTTTTTAATGTTTACCTGTTTCTGTTGATGAGCAATTCGAGCTGGTGTAAGTCGTTGCCTTACTCGTCCAGCAATTGGAGTCGTACTCTTTGGAGTCTTTGCTTTAGGAGTGAGAAGCACCTAAACCAATAAAGTTAGTAATTTTAAAAACAAAGATACCGGTGTTTTGTGCTGTGTTGCTTCAACAATAGGTGTCTTTTTGGAACCAATCTAAAAGAATATTTTAAGGCAAAAATAAATATAACCAACCGGGGTTCCAGCAGTTGGCTTCGGTGATTTTTTGATACTGGTGAGCTTATCAGCATTTGCAACATCCTCCACTTGAGCAACAGCATCAGAAATTCTTTTCTGAAAAGTTTGCTACTTCTGCAATAACTACTTTATTTACTTTTTCGAAGGTTGCTCCTGAATAACTTCATCGTCTTCAACAAGAATCGTTTCGTCGAGAGATTTTTGAGCCTAGATTGCAACTGACACCTCAAACAACTACAAAAATCTTACCTGTTTGTCCAAAGATCGCTTTTTCTTGCTAGCAACCTCTGAATCAGCTGAGGTTTCCTAAAAGTAGATATTAAACGAAAACTCACTGTCAGTAAAAACGAACCTGTTCAACGACTTGAGGTAAGTCTTGAGTTTGTTCATTTGAGTTCTAAAATTCTTTCATGTATGTTTGGAAAGAAAAACCAACCGTAGCCAAATCATAGTCGATTCCCATGGCTTTTAGCTTGTTCAAACGTTTCGTTAGATTCTTTCCACGCTGTTTCTGAAAAAAATACACCATTGTTTGAAAAATGCAAATTTTTAAAACAGATTCCAAACTTTTAAAAGTTAATTGTAAAAGGTGCTGCTTGCCTTCAGTTTTGCCTCTCGATCATCCGTTCGCTCTTTCCATTGTAACTTGGTCTCTTTGATAGCGCTTCCGAAACGATGTGGTGGCTCTTTGAGACGAGGTCCTTTCTTCATGTGCTCAGGGATCTCTTCTGGCTTCATCACCTGAATTAGAACTTGTTATTGAATTAAATGATAATGAAAGATAAAGCATCTATGACAAGCTTGCTTACTCACTAAAGAAAAATGCAAAACTCACATGTGCTTTAACCCGTTTGTCAAACATCAAATAGCCGTTCATCGATTCGGCAGCAATTTGTGCAACATCCGAATCATCGAAAGCCACATAAGCCCATCCTTTGTGATTACCCGTCTAAAGGATTTTTTAAATGTTTAAAAAAGAGCATTACCTTCTTGCTGCGTGCCACTCGGACACGTAAAACATTACCGAACTGCTTAAAGTACTTGAAAAGCTCTTTCTCAAAGAAGCCATACGGAATTGATCGAAGTTTCAGCACATGGATGGCTAAAAGATCAAAAACTTTAAAAAAAGTGCCAAAAATTTGCCTTTGTGCTTCTTTCCTTGAAGTGTCTGGCGAATCGCGGCGGCTCCCTCAAGCTTTTTAACTTTCATTGTTGATGCTAAAATTAAAAATACGTTGAATTAGTGTAAAAAAAATGGAAAACAAAATAAAACGGCAAAAAAGTTGACGTGATTTATACCTGGTTCAGAAATGAATCGACAAAATATGAAAATTCTTTGTTTAGTACGCAACTGAACAAAATGACACGTTTTTCGGCGGCGCCTTTGATCTTTTTTCAAACTTAAAATTGGATGAAGTGTTTTAAGATAGAAGAGTTAATTGGGGGTGGCTACTTTGCGCCAAATTTTTTGCGCAACTCGGTCATTTGTGCAACTAGGTCTTTTGCGCAACTCTCCATAACTTTCTTCTAAGTGAACCAATCTTTATGATTTTGGTACTGAAGAAATCTTACTAATATTACCAAGTTAACATTTGTAAAATAAACAAAACAGTTTAGAATATAATGAAGTAATCTCTTTTCTAAAAAAACATCCATTTTGCAAAACCACCGCAGCCAGTTTCCATTCAATCAGCCCAATTTTGAGGGTAGGCTAATTTGCGCAGCTCGCCATAACTTTCTTCTAAACCAATTTTTATGATTTTGGTGTTATTTTGTTACACTTGTTGAGATCTACGAAATGACACCAAAATCCTAAAGATTGACCCACTTAGAAGAAAGTTATGGCGAGTTGCGCAAAAAATTTGGCACAAAGTAGCCACCCCCGAGTTAATTTTCTAGATTTGGATTTTTACTTTTCTTATGACTTAACAATATTTTCCTTTTTCAGATGCGCAAATTCTTTACTGCAAAACCGAAAAACCCGAGCACGACGAGTCAGTTAAATGAGAAAAGGATTCGACTAGGAAATGAGGTACACAAATAGTTTAGGCTTATATTTTTAACATTTTTAGCTTTAAAATAATAGTAGTAAGGTTTTAATTCTCTCTTCTTATTGATCCAATTTACAGAATTCTCCGAATCAACAACAAGGTGAAACTCCACACATTAAAAAGGTGACGACGCTTTTGAAATTATCATTACTTTTTAATAGGACCTAGACGAAGCAAAGAAATGCCGAGCTCGTCGCCTAAAAATTTTAGAAGAACGAGCAAACGATGCACCTTTTATGGAAGATGTAAGAGTTTAATTGCTTTGTAATGATTTCTTATTTTCAGGTTTTTGAAATGTACAAACGGGAGCTCATCACCACGAAAGAGCTCTCGGATAAATCGGCCTTGAAGAAAGTGGGTTGCTAGCTTTGATTGTAAATAATTTGGATTTAGCACGGTCTTACTAAAGTCGGGTTTACGGAAGATTTTTCATTAACGACTTATCGAGCGATTACAATATCAAAGGAGTTAGCGACATCGTTCAAGAAAGGAGAGAAGTAAATTTTTGAAAAAGAATGAAAACAAAAACGAAACTTTTTAGATTTTACCTGCGTGGAGAATTGGATGAAAATATGGTCCTCTGCTCAGCCACACAAACATTTGATATTCATGTAAGTGAAGGTGGAATTTCATAAAATTTGAGTTTTAGGCTTGTGCAACTTCTAGTCTTTTGACCATTTCTACATTGAAACCAGAATTTAGCACCGAAGCGGCAAGCGCTTTTGAAAGCACCTCGGTGAAAGCTTCTTGTTTTGCATTTAAATATTTTTTTTAGATTTTGGGCTCTGTCGATCAGAACATCTGTTTTGCGACTTTGAAGTCAAATGTTGGGACTCAAAAACTACGAGAGTTGTTACGCCGAAATGAGCTGGACTGGAAAGAAGAAGATTCTAGTCAAGCAAGTTTTGAGGTGATCGATGAATCGACAAGAAGGTTTGTTTACCGATTCAAAATTTAATCATAACATTGCAATCTAAAGTGATATTCGATTCAATTTTTAGATTTTCATCCCGGGAACTCCTGCGAATGATTCAAATGAGTGAAGGGGAACTGCGCGCTTTCTGTAAACGAATGCCAGTAATCGAATATAAAGGTACGCTGGTTTTAAAAAACTTCAAATATTTGTTTAGGAAAATTTTGCTGGATGACTCATGCCTATTGCACACATCTCTTTGATACTTTGGTCGATTTGCTAGATGATACTGATCATTCTGATATTGAGGTAGGGTAGAAAAACCTTCTTAAAGAAATTTTTTCTAGATATCATTTTGCACCTTCGAATCCCTCCGAGGAGCTTTTCCAACTTCTATCCCAGATACGGCAATTCAGTGGCTATTGAACAGAACGTTTGAACAAATACCAGATCAAGAAGGTAATTTATATCTGCCTATTTTGTTTATTATTTGTTTGCTTTAGTTTATCAACTTGACGAGGGACGTTTTGTGACGGAACGACTTCGACATTTATTGCCGCTAACTCCGGTTCAATACCTCAGCCAATTATACTCCGTGGCCGACAGAATCCTTCCTGCTAGATGCACTTTTAAGTTTGTTTTAATTTAGCTTTTAATCTTGTGGTTTGTTATTCAATTTATTTGTTTTCTATAGACCTGAATATCTTCTCGGAGTTGCTACAACTACAACACATGGATCTGGCGAGAAGCTGATTATTTTAATGGACAAGGATGAACTTCCAGATGAACATTTGGATAGGTTGGCTTTTGAAAAAAACATTTAGCTTATCAAACTCAATTTTAGGGTGAAATCTATGTTTGCTGCGAGAAGTATTTGGCCAGACAACGAGATGAGAGCTTACCTTGCGGATGTCTTCCTTTCAAGGTAAGCTGTCGCTTTATAAATTTTTCCTGTCCTTCCTAACTTAAAAAATAGGATAAATAAATTATCTTCAATAAAAATTCCTATTTAGGCAAAAGATGGACGAGTTTCTTTTCGAAAATGTGGAAAGAGGTGAAGACGGCGATGGGAAAATTATTTACGGAGGCGTTGTGGATCCTGATTGTTAATTCCGGTGAATTTTTTGCTTGAAGATTTTTCTAAGTTGTAAATATTTATTGCTTTTAAAAATAAATTGATTCTACTGAACAAGCAACAATTCTGACCCGTATACCAGAAATTAACTCGTTAATCAAACAATCAAACACAATGTGTAGGCGCCAGCGAGTGCCGACCTCCCCATTTTGTCCATCGACTCGGTAAAAGCAAATTTTTTTGAGCATTTGGAATGCTTTGAGTTGAGTTCTCTCGTGGATCCATTGTTTCCCATTGGGCTTCCAGCTGATCCCGATACTCATCGTCCTCATCCAATTCTATCCCTGAAACTTTCTCACTTTGTCACTTTTCTTGGGTTACCTGAAACGCCAAAGATCGAATTCCGAGCATACATGACAGATGCACGGGCTTTCTGAAATTTTTATTGGGATCATTTGAAAGCCAGCTTTACCTCGCTAATTGTGTGCGAAAGATCTTTCACTCGACAGCAATGGAATATTAGTAGAACTAAATTTACTCCAACTTTTCTGTTAAACAGTTTGTTTTACCAGATACTGAAAATATACACAAAATCGAGCACATGGCTATCGCCAGAAATAACAGAAAAGATGATGGTCGGGTGTCCATCTCTGAAAATGGTTAGCTTTATTTTGAAGTTTGTCGGAAAAGAAAAAATCGTTTTAACTCACCAAAGCAAATCATTTTGAGGTGTCGAGGAAAATTTTAAAAAGAAAACACGTGCCCAAAAGAAATTCCAATAACTAGCTCCAAATATAATATTCTCCACTCAATTGCGGTGAACGACGAGTGGGTAAAGTAAACACACCAATAGGGCCATTAGACATTTAGAGGGAGTAGGAAGGGAGGACAATAATTTGCGCTTGAATGCTCGCTCAATAAAACATGGCAAAGAATTTCTGGGTGTTATTGAAGTGAAACCTTTTTTTGGAAAGGGAAAGTTGGACTCCTCCGAATAACGACTAGTCATTGGCGTTTGCCCCCGCCGCTTAACGAGATTCGCTCCTCCTTTTTCGGCCACTCAACAACCTAGTGACCCGCCAAACTTGGTCGGCCTTCGTGAAAAATTTAATTTAGCCCGCTCACTGAATAAGCACACATACGAGAGAGTGAAACAATGTTTTTTGAACCTTAATCGGATAAATCATAAAAAGAAACGCTGAAACTTGCTGAAGAACTGCTGAAAAATATTTTGGAAGCCTCCACCCCAAAATTGCTTTCCAAAAGTTCTCACGTCAATCGAATTATGGCTTAGGCTCTTTGTGGCAGATATTCCCAGAAAATTGGAGTTAGGTAGATGTCAAAAGAAAAAAAAAGACCGCTTTACTTGAGCTCTCAATGAAGGAATGAGAAGGGCCCAGCAATTGTCTTGCCTCGTCCAAAGACTCCACATACCGGAAACGTTTCACTCTCGCAGTGAGGGTTGTCATCCGTAGACGCACAGATTATTCCGTCTATTGAAAATACATCCATGAATGAATAAGATTTTTATGGAGCATTTCAATTATCAAAAATATACGATTCAAAAAAATAACAACAACAAATGTAAAAAATACCCGTAAATGACAAGCTAAAACACTAGAACTATGATTAAACAAACTGATTACAAAAAACTAATGTCCTCTCATCCAATAATCGATGACAGTACTGAAAGCTGCAAAACCAGCAGCTCCAAATAACGCCGGTTTGATACCTAAAATTTTTCTGATTTATTAAAAATTCAATTGACCCATCGTGAAAATCGTAAATTCTAAAAAACTGAAAATAACCTGCTCTGTAACCCAACAGGGCTCCGACAATTCCACCGGCATACGTTCCGTTTCTCCAATCACTTTTGGCTCGGACTGTTTCTAATACGCATTCGGTACCTAAAGTAAAACAATAATTTTATTTTAGAAACTCTCGATAAATTAAATATTTCCACTTACCTGCAAACATAAGTCCGATTGATCCAAAGTTTTTTCCGTATGATTTCATTCGCGAGCTCATTTCTTGCCATGTTTCTTTGAGGGTTAACTAAATAATTGAAATTCGAATGTTACAAAAAACACTTTACCGGCTTTGTTGGATCACCTCCGACCATTGATATTCGAGGATCGACCGAGGCCGTGAACAATCCAAACGCGATTCCCACGCCATAACCGAGCACACCTAAAACATTATAGTAAGTTGATAACTTTCTCAACAATTCTTCAAACGAATTTAAAACTTTAATAAGCAAAAAATATAAAACCTGATATCGTGGCTTTTGCAGCGCAGTTCTCCATTAGGCCTGACATCCAACGTTCCTCTCTTGTCATTTCTGGTAGCGTCAGCATCTAAAATGAATTGAAAATTTTTAGAATATTTAAGACAGACTTGTTTCGGTTTAATTGGTTGTTTTTCGACATCCCATGGTCTTGATCGTGTTCCAATCATCTGATCCATCATTACACAGTAGGCTGATGGTTGATAGACATAATTCTAAAAATTCACGATAATGTACCGGCTACTTTTGAATATCGATATTCAAAAAATTCAATTTTCCAACTTAAAACTCACCTCCAAAGCTTTCGGCGTTTTCGGTGGCTCCTTTTTTTTCGCAAATGGATTCCCGAATAGATCTTCTAACGCAGTCCCACTACCAAATTTAGGCGGTACTGCCATCTAAAAGCTATTGATAGACCCATCAAAATTTGCATCATTTCATCGTGCAAGATAAAAATATTCGTTGGTAAAATTAACCAAGCTTGAAACGATCAGTTGAGCAGAGAAAATTTATTAAAAACAACGAGATCGCAAACCTAACAAATAACAAAAACGATAAACCTATTATCGCAAAAAAAAATTTAGACCATCGTGGCCCATTCTTGGCTGACCGATCTTGCTAGATAGACGCCGACACCAAAAGCGATGATTCCTTTGAATGCAGACCTAAATTTAAGCAAATTAAAAACCAAAAACCTTTCAAGTTTAATTAGAATATTTAAACAAATTTATGTGTTTTAAAAAAATAAAATCTCACCAATTGAAGGGATCATTGTACAAAGAGTTTACGAGCGTAAATCTTGTATTTAGCGGTGGAGGAGCTGGTGGACCGGGTTGCATACGAAACATGGTCGAAGTTGATCCTGAAATGGACAAAACATTATAAAAACGGTGAGTAAATAGAATAAAGTCATTGAAAGGTATAAAAAGTAGAAGACTGGGTAAGACTAACCAAACTAAAAGACAAAACAATGCTTGCCATCAATATAACTATTTTAATTTAAAAGATATTCCATTAAGACACTTGAGTGTTTTTGTAAAATGAAATGTTTAACCTTAAAATGCAAATTTTAAGATTTAAGATTTTAAAAATGTTAGAAAAGCATTTTAAATAACTTTTCCCTTTTGGAAACCCCACGAAATACCCCTGGGTTCTGCTCTGAAATTTCTAAAAGTTGTCGTAAAGATCCCGTGCGCATCTCGACACGATTTCCCTTTGTGCAAACGGTTTACCCAGTGAATACACGTCGTTCACAATTTCTTCTTTCCTGCTATAGTGGCTAGTTACAGCTTGATTTTGCAACTTCTTTGTTGATATTTACTGTTTTTTTGGAGCTTTTGGCATTTAGAAACCGTTTTCTTCAGGTGAATCAAAAATGGCATCGAGTGAGCTCCCGTGTTACACCCTTATTCACGTGCCCAATGATGTCGAGTTGCCGAGCGAAGCACAGTTGAAGGAGAAATTTGAAAAAGGTAATGACTATCTTTGTGTAAGTTTTTAAAGAATAACTGAAAGTTATTCTTTAAAGGTCTATTGCTTTGCAGCTGAATTTAAGAATTCTCAAAACCACTTTAATTCAAACGTTTAGGCGACGATAAATCGAGATGTGATGCCTTGAAAAAGTTGATCTACATGATTAACAGCGGAGAAAAGATGAGCCCGGGAATGTTGATGTATGTGATTCGATTCTGTTTGCCGTCAAACGATCACACGCTGAAGAAAGTGTTGCTCCTGTTTTGGGAAATTGTGCCAAAGGTTGGCATCTTTCACTCGATGAATTTTATCAGACTTTTAGACGAATCCACAAGGAAAGTTACTTCACGAGATGATTTTGGTGTGTGATGCTTATCGAAAAGATCTTCAGCATCCAAATGAGTTTGTTCGAGGATCAACATTGAGGTGAGTATGCAGTGTTTCAGTTTTCGGCTTGTAAAAAAGATTTTTATTTTTGTTATTTAGATTTTTATGCAAGCTGAAAGAGCCAGAGTTGTTGGAACCTTTGATGCCCGCAATTCGTTCTTGTCTCGAACATCGTCACTCATATGTCCGACGCAATGCTGTCTGTGCCATATTTACAATCTACCGCAACTTCGAGTTTCTTATTCCCGACGCGCCGGAGCTTGTTTCTAACTTCCTTGAAGGTGAACAAGATGCCGCGTGCAAGGTAAATTGTCTAAAATAAAATATCTAACTATTTATTTAGCGTAATGCTTTTATGATGCTTCTTCATGTTGATCAAGCTCGTGCTCTCGATTTTCTTTCCGGGTGCATCGATCAAGTTTGTCATTCTGGAATAGTGAATTATCATTCTTATACAGGTGACTCAATTTGGGGATATTCTGCAATTGATCATTGTCGAACTTATCTACAAGGTATTTATTTAATTCAAACACTAAAACAAGTGCATATTAGGTCTGTCACACAAACCCATCGGAGAGGGCTCGTTTTATCAGATGTGTCTACAATCTTTTGCAATCACAATCACCCGCTGTTCGGTAAAGACTCTTTTTGAATCGAAAATATAAAGTGCTATAGTTATGAAGCTGCTGGCACCTTGATCACTCTCTCTCCTGCCGCAGCCGCCATCAAAGCTGCCGCCTCTGCCTACATTGAATTGATTGTTAAAGAAAGCGATAACAATGTCAAGGTAAAGTATAACTTTGCAGTTTTAACCAATTAATTTTAAGCTTATCGTTCTCGATCGTTTGATGGAACTCCGTTCAAATGCGGCCAGTGAGCGCGTGCTTCAAGAGCTTGTAATGGACATTCTTCGTGTGCTCTCTTCTCCAGGGTTTGAAGTTCGCAAAAAGACTTTGAGCTTGGCACTTGATTTGGTCTCAAGTCGTAATGTTGAAGACATGGTCATGTTCTTGAAAAAGGTTTGCGAAGTTTTGTGAAATTAAGTAATTAGTATTGATTTTAGGAAATCAGCAAGACGTCGAATGAATCGGCTGATGATGCAGCTCGTTATCGTCAAGAACTTGTGCGAACGCTTCACACAGCTACAATCAAATTTCCTGATGTTGCGAGTCAAATTGTTCCTGGTAAAAATATCTTTATGGCTTTAAGTTTAGCTATTTTTTCAGTTCTTATGGAGTTCCTGTCGGATGACAGTGAGTTGGCGGCCGTTTCCGTGGTTGAATTTGTTCGCGAAGCTGTGCATAAATTGCCTCATTTGAAACCAGTGATCGTGCAATCGCTTCAGGTAAGATGCTTTTTGTATCAAAAATGTTACTTTAATGCTTTTTAGGAAGGACTGCTTGCTATTCGTAAGCCAAAAATCTTCATGTCAGCTTTATGGATTCTTGGCTCGTACTGTGATACGACCGAATCTATTAATGAGGTATTTGCACTCGTGAATGAGTCACTACTTACGTTTTAGGTGATGCATTTGGTAAAACAGTCCGTTGGTGAGCTTCCAATTGTCGATTCGGAGCTGCGACTTCTTGAAGGTGGTGATGAATCAAAAACTGAAGATGTAAAGGCAGCACAGAAGGTTATAGTTTTTTTATTACAGCTAACCATTTCTTTTAGACTCAAAAACAACTTGTCACCGCTGATGGAACTTACGCCGCCCAGTCTTCGCTTTCGCAAACGACTCGCACTGGGGAAGACAATCGCCCACCAATGAGGTTGTTTTAAGAATTCAATTTGTGTTACTCTTACAATTTAGACGTTTTTTGCTTGATGGAGAATTTTTCCTTGGCGCCACTCTTTCAACGATTCTCAATAAATTGGCCGAGCGACATGCCAAAATCAACAGAGGTAAAAATAGCATTTATCAATTTCCTTAGAATAGTTTTAGGTAAGCAAGCTCGTGTGAATGCTTTCAAGGCAGAAATCATGTTCATTCTCTCGTCAGTTGTGAATCTTGGCAAAAGCGGTTTGTCTAAGAACAACATCACCGAAGATGATCTTGATCGGTATTGAGTTATTTTTTACTTTATTTATTTCTTATTAGAATGAGCACCACCATCAAAGTTCTCGCAGAAGGGTGCCCTGGAGCTGAAGAAATTTTCCTTGAAAAATGTCGTGAAAGTCTTGAGGTATCGCCATTTTTATTAGATTAGTTGAACATAATGTTTTTAGATTATGCTTGCTAATAAACACGAGGAAAAGCAGGAGGAGCAAGATAAGAAAAAGAAAAATCATGTTGAGGTTTGTTTAAGTTTTTATTGTAAATGTATTATCAAAGATTCTAGGTCGATAAGACAATTGTCTTCACCCAACTCTCAGCTCGCGCCGATCAAGTAGCCGGAGATAATCTTTTCGATTTGTCCCTTTCACAGGTAATTTTTCTTTGAGTTTTGCTAACTTTTGTTAATTGAGGCTCTTGGAACTGCTCCAAAATCATCAAAATTCGACTTCTCTTCCTCGAAATTGGGAAAAGTTATCCAACTTGCTGGTTTCTCAGACCCAGTCTACGCTGAAGCTTATGTCAATGTTAATCAGTACGATATCGGTGAGTTTTGGGATTTTACAAGTTTACTTTTCGTTTCTTCATTATCTAGCTGAATTAAACGTAACTAATCGACTCCGAAGAGTGAGAAGACGTGGTGGTCAAATGATTTTTAGTGCGTTACCTGTCCCAAAGAATTCACTTTGCAGTGATACTCATGAACCTTTTTAGGCACAAGATTATTTGTTTTACCCAACTTTAAGTTATCAACTCATTTCGTTTATCTTATTTTAACTTTTCAGTGCTTGATGTGCTCATCGTGAATCAGACGGCTGACACTTTACAAAACGTTTCCTTGGAGTTATCGACAATGGGAGACTTGAAGCTGGTTGAAAAGCCAACTCCTTGCACTTTGGCCCCACATGACTTCACCAATATTAAGGTTTGTCTTTTTATTTTGACTCTACTTATTCCAATATGGTTTAGGCAACCATCAAAGTGGCTTCTGCTGAAAATGGAGTGATCTTCTCGGTGATTTCGTACGATGTTCGCGGTTCTCAATCTGATCGAAACTGCGTTTACCTTCAAGACATCAAGATTGATATTATGGTGAGTAGGATTTAAATCTGTCCACTTCCAGCATTTCAGGATTACATTGTGCCTGGAACAGTCACCGACACGGAATTCCGTCAAATGTGGAACGACTTTGAATGGGAAAACAAGGTATTTGATGACATTTAGTGAATTCGTAAAGTGAATTTTACAGGTTACCGTCAATACACCAATCAAGAACTTGCGTGAATTCCTTGGACACATTTCAGCGATCACAAACATGCGTTGCTTGACAGGAGATGCAGCTCTAGGTAAGGGTTAAAAAATAAAATAAATTTTTTAAAATTTCAGCTGGCGAATGCGGCTTTTTGGCGGCCAACTTCTGTGCCCATTCGATATTCGGAGAAGATGCTCTCGCGAATGTTTGCATCGAGAAAGCAAACCCAATTGATGAGGAAAGTCCAATTCTTGGGCATATTCGAATCCGAGCCAAGAGCCAAGGAATGGCATTAACCCTTGGAGACAAGGTGAGAATATTTTGATTTGTGATTAGATGGAACTTTTTCTATTTAGATCAATATTGCCCAACGAGAGCGCAAGAAGGGAACCCGCCCCATTGCTCTTGCTGCTGCTTAAACACTTCGTCGAATCGCTAGAAAATCTTGTGATTGTAAACATTATGCGGGTGCACATGTGGTTGGTTTATGTTTTATACACTTGTTTTTTTTTGTAGCGTGTTACTATTTATCCTAATTTATTGCTTTTCTTTTCCTTCTTTGTCTAGCACTCGTTTGTTTTTCTCATTTACCGTGAGCCTATGCGAATTATTTATCGAGTTTCTTCTATAATCCCGTTTTCTAATAAGGTCAAATTGTGTGATGTGATAAATTTAAAATTTGAGCATTGTTTTGGTAAAGTTTTTCTGTAAAATTTACAAATTTATTAATGACACTAGAGTTATTTATCGACAAGAAGAATTTCTCAAAACAATCACAGGCGTTTATGTACAGCGGCGCAAAAGGAAACATGGAAAGAACGTTTGAATTTTAAGAAGAATGGAAAGTGAAGCTCATTTTAGTGCACCACTAGGGAGAAAGAGATCGAAAAATTTGAAGATCAAGAGAAATATTAGGATTTTATCGACTTGATACTTTACAATAAACGTAACGGGATCCAACGTGGGTTAACGGTTTTTTGAGCAAGCAAATCCTTCCACATCCGATCGTTTCGATCACCTGCACCAAACAGTACCTAAAAATTGCTGCATAGTGGTGTTTTGGGGATCAGTATTACGGTGCTTTTAAAAACTTTTCTCAATTTCTCACCTGTCCGATTAGGCGATGGTTGCCGATTCTGTCGTGATCCAAGATGTGAATCTCGACTTGTGAGCTGAAATTGTTGTCAATTTTCATTTCAACCTTTTGATACTTTGATTGAAGTCTAATCAAAACTCATTCTCACTTGATCAATTGTGACATCGTACAGCTGAAGTTCAACGCTTCATTCCAAATCGGATTTGCGCTATTCTTACGCACTCCACTTTTTCTCTTTTTCACCATTTTCCCGTCATAAAGATGGTAAACTTTGGCGACAGCGTCTGGAATTTTTAAAAATTCGAGATTTTCTTTGATTTGCTAACTTTGATGCGTTACTTTTAGCTTTTTCATTTGTTAATTTGCTGATTTTCTTTTCTAATCTTATATTTTCTGTCTTTTCTTTTCTATTTCTTTCTTTTTTTCTTCTTTTCTTTCTTTCTAATCAATTTCCATTACTTACTTGGCAATGCATCTTTGCTGGGAAGACCTTTGGCTTGATGAATGGTGATTGTGAGACGCTCGGCTGAGGGGAGATATTGAATGCCGACAAAAAGCTCGCCAAGATTCTCACCCTGAAAAGAAATCAGTCTTATTTTCTATCATAATTGGAAATTTAGAATGTCTATTAACCAAGAAAAGATTCTTTCATTAAACTTAACAATTTAAGTGAAATTTACTGGGACTTTCACGCTTCTCGTTTCTTGTATGCCAATTGCTAGCTATCTGACAACTTATCGCCGTGGCGCAGTCAGCAGCGCGCTTATCTATGGCCCAAACGGTACGGGTTCGATCCCCCATACAATTTTGACTTTTTTAAGAGCACTTCTCAACCTTTACTTACAGAGTTGTGCAATTCGATATCGGACCAGAGAATCACGTCATCACTTGGATCAATCGAACTCAAATCGATCGATGTGCTGCCGAGAACCGACGAGGCCGAGCCTGAATTGGATATTTGATCAGGGGATAAAGGAAATGTTATCTAAAAGTGATCAAATATTCTTGTCGAATACCTATTCTTGTCGAATACCTATTCTTGTCGAATACCTATTCTTGTCGAATACCTATTCTTGTCGAATACCTATTCTTGTCGAATACCTATTCTTGTCGAATACCTATTCTTGTCGAATACCTATTCTTGTCGAATACCTATTCTTGTCGAATACCTATTCTTGTCGAATACCTATTCTTGTCGAATACCTATTCTTGTCGAATACCTATTCTTGTCGAATACCTATTCTTGTCGAATACCTATTCTTGTCGAATACCTATTCTTGTCGAATACCTATTCTTGTCGAATACCTATTCTTGTCGAATACCTATTCTTGTCGAATACCTATTCTTGTCGAATACCTATTCTTGTCGAATACCTATTCTTGTCGAATACCTATTCTTGTCGCTCCTAACAGTTGCAGGGTGAGACTCTTGTCGAGAAGATCCTCGTAAGAGACTGGGAATTTGAAGGTTTCTTTGTGAAACGGGGCTCCAGCCACAATTTTACTCGATTGTCTTCTCAGCGTCGTGTCCGAGAGGGAAACCGCCAACGAGTACTCGTCCAATTTGATTACATGGCTCACTGGAAAGGGTTTTTTGATCTTAGATATCATTTTTTTACTGTTAATGTTTAATGTTTAAGAAATATTAGGATTTTATCGACTCGCGAACAAGAATTTACATTTAAAGGACTCGACGAAAGATTACGATCAAACTTGCAAGTGGAAAATGAAATATGTTTTAATTTCAACCCAACAAATTGGGCAGCTACGTTTTTCCTTTTTTCCCGTCGCAGTGCGTAGCTGCCCCATTTGTTGGGGTTTGCTTTGAAAATCAAAAGATTCAGCTTTTTTTCCGCTTAAAAGTCAAGCTTTAAAATTCAGCGGTCTTTTAGAAAACAAATGATTCGTTTCCAGGATCCCTATCCCATAGATTTGCAAAAGTTTCTCTTTTTAAGCTTTCGATTTTTGGTTTGAAGGTTTTTCGGGGGTTGCTTTTTGGGGGAAGTAATTTAGCCGATCCATCTATCCGTTGACATCAGAATGGATAAATTGAGGTCATCCCGGCATTTTCATTTTCCTTTTTCTTTTTCCCGAAATTTTTTCTAAGCGAAATTCTATTTTTGTTTTGAAAGATTTGAAAGGTGAAAAAGTCGAAATTCGTTTGCTGAAATTTGAGCTTTCTTCAGAATGATGGAGATGAATGATGGAGAAAAAAAAATTGGGAGAAAGGACAAATGCGACCTTTTTTTTGCGCACCCGGACATTTGCGCACCTTTTTTTCCGCACTTAGCCCATTAGCGCACCTTTTTTCGCGTTTTAAAAAAGCTCTAAAAAGCTAAAAGCTAAAAAAGCTAATATTAAGCAATTTCTATTCCAAAAGTTGTTTTTCTAGGTAATTTGAGGGCGTAGAATCGAAATTTTGATATATCAGAGCTTGTGGAACCAATTTGAAAGACAAAACGGCTAGATCAAATTACAGAGAATTGTCGATTTTTCTCTTTGTATAACTCCGTCCGTTTGTTTCCACAAGCTCTGTTATGTCAAAATTTCGATTCTACGCCCTAAAATTACCTAGAAAAACAACTTTTGGAATAGAAATTGCTTAATATTAGCTTTTTTAGCTTTTAGCTTTTTAGAGCTTTTTTAAAACGCGAAAAAAGGTGCGCAAATGTCCGGGTGCGCAAAAAAAAGGTCGCATTTGTCCCACTCCCAAAAATTTCGAAAACGGAATTAAGCGTGAAGTCGTACAATCCTTAGAAATCGCCTTTTGTTTTGTTTTTTTGTATACTGCAAAATCCCCCCACCTTTCACATCAGAAAAACAAAAATTTATCCAATTCTTGATATCTCCAAATTTCTCCATTTCTCCATTTCCCCATTTCCCCGTTTCCCCTTCAAAACCCCCAATTTCAGATCAAACGCAAAAAGTAATTGAGAAGAAAAAAATAATAATAAGCAAGCTTGGTTTTTTTTTTTTTTTTTTTTGCGAAAAAGGAGTGCTGAATGTTTTGGCTGAATTGGCGGTTTTGAAGGGAAAATGGGGAAATTTCGAGATATCAAGAATTGGATAAATTTTTGTTGTTCTGATGTGAAAGGTGGGGGGATTTTGCAGTATACAAAACAAAAAGCGATTGTAAGGGTTCTAAGGAATCTAAGGATTGTAAGGGTTCTAAGGACTTCACGACTAATTCCGTTTTCTAAAATACATTTTTTTCGAAAAATTAGCGTATTCAAACCGCTAGTTTTCATTTGATTACCTCAATTTTTGCATCATTGATTGAACCTTGTGATTTCGCATTGAATAATGCCAAAATTGGGGGTAGATTTTTTCTAATTTCTGCAATTCTAATTTCTGCAATTCTAATTTCTGCAGAGCTAATTTCTGCAATTTTTTTTACGCAACAGGGTTATTTGCGCAATTGGGTCGTTTGTGCAACTAGGTCGTTTGCGCAACTCGCCATAACTTTCTTTTAAGTGAACCAATCTTTATGATTTTGGTTTCATTTTGTAGATCTCAACAAGTGTAACAAAATAACACCAAAATCATAAAGATTGGCCCACTTCGAAGAAAGTTATGGCGAGTTGGCGCAAAAAATTTGCAGTAGCCACCCCCGAGTTAATTTTCTAAATTTTTTAAAAATTAACTCGGGGGGGCTACTTTGGCAAAATTTTGCGCAACTCGCCATAACTTTCTTCGAAGTGGGCCAATCTTTAGGATTTTGGTGTCATTTCGTAGATCTCAACAAGTGTAACAAAATAACACCAAAATCATAAAAATTGGTTTAGAAGAAAGTTATGGCGAGTTGCCCAAATTAGCCTACCCTCAAAATTGGGCTGATTGAGTGGAAACTGGCTGCGGTGGTTTTGCAAAATGGATGTTTTTTTAGAAAAGAGATTACTTCATTATATTCTAAACTGTTTTGTTTATTTTACAAATGTTAACTTGGTAATATTAGTAAGATTTCTTCACTTACCTTCTAAGAGAGTGACGATGAAATCGCTCTTCGAGAAATCGTACGTCATTTGCACCTGAAAATGCTTGAATTGAAAAGATTTAGGTGGTTTTAATTTAAAACGAAATCATTTTTAATCATTTCTAAAATCTACTCGTTTTCTAATAGAAATCAGTTTACCTGAACCCTGGCCACCGATGGTTTTCCGTTTGCCTCATGGCGTACGATGCTCCCGCGTCTGCGATAGAGATCCGGCTGGATTGAGCCTGAAAATTGAATGATTTGTAAGCTACAGCTATAGATAAGCTACAGCTACAGATAAGCTAGAGCTGCAGATAAGCTAGAGCTACAGATAAGCTAGAGCTGCAGATAAGCTAGAGCTACAGATAAGCTACAGCTACAGATAAGCTACGGCTACAGATAAGCTACAGCGTTCACATAAAGTACAGTAATCGTAAGCCAACAACAACAACAGTCTAATTAGTCTCACCGATTCCGTGATCGGACGATCGGCGTCTCTCAAGGAAAAGCAGTGCTGAGTCGGCCATGTCCTGTTCGGAGGGTCGACGCGAGTCTTTTTGCTGAAGTTAATGAAGTTATGAGTTAATATTGCAATTATTGATTTAATAAATTTATAGATAAAACATCGAATTGTTTATTTTTAATAAGAAAGAAATAATCTTTTCTTGAAATTCGAGACTTTTGACGCAATTTGGGATAGATGAACAGGTGAATAGTTAAATTTGGAAAGGGATTCCAAAAAATGTGATCTTGTTTATCTACAGTAAGCTACAGTAAGCTAGAGAAGCTACAGTAACCTACAGATAGCTGAAGAGGTTACAGTAAGCCGCAGTAAGCCGCAGTAAGCCACAGTAGGCCACAGTAAGCTTACCATAGAGGCTACGGTAAGCTGTAGTAGTTGTAGGCTACAATAGGCTTACTAGAGAGGCTACAGTAAACTGGAAAGCTTATAGTATCGTACAGTAAGCACTAGAGAGGTTACAGCATCATGTTTACTATTAAAATCACAGTATCTTGACTATAACCTTTCTAAATACCGCTCTAGAGATCTACCGTAATCTCGTGGCATAATCTACCGTAATCCTACTGGTAAGTAAAGCAAAAAGCTACTCGATTTAAAGCCAATGAAGCCAGCTGAAAAGCAGCAGGGTACGGTAGCTTTTCGCATCTTTTAGGAAACAATTTGAGCCTAGACTAAAGTTGGAAATTGTTAGGTGCACAAAGAACACTAGTCAGCACTTCTTGAAAAAAGCAAAGGCAAAATCGAAGGTGGGGGGATCGAACTAGTGAGGTCTCGTTCCGGAAGCGAACCCTGTACCATTCGGTCACTAGGAACTACAGAAATTGTCTGTGTTGGATCGCCTGTGTTGGATCAGGTCAAAGAGGCCGCTAGGAGGCCACTAGGAACTACAGAAATTGGTTAAAATAAAAGATAAGGCTAAGTATCAGTCTTTTATACAAATCACCGTACCAGGAAATGGCTGAACGCTTAAAAACAAGCAATTAGATTTAAAGAAAAATAGAAAGAACCGAAAGAACCGAAAGAACCGAAAATGATCGAGGGAAATGAATGAGAGGGAAAGTTTTCTCGGGCGACAAATTGGTACCCATGAGATCTGAAGGGAAAATCGAGGGTTTTCAAGGCTGAAGAAAGCATTTATCTTTTCACTCTTGGATTTGAAGGTCCTCCCCATTTTTTCCTCCTCCTTTTTTTGGCTGAATTCCGTTTTCTGAGATGAACTTCCTCTCATAGCTTTTTCTCTTTTTGTGAATCTTGACGTCTTGATCGCTTTTCTCTTTTTTTTTAAGGAAAAACTTGGAGGATTTTGAGGCGTTGATTGGATGAAAACGAGGCCGAGTTGAGAGAAAAAGCAGAAAAAGCATATGAGATGTAAAAAATGAGGAAAATCGAGGGAAAAGGTCATCGAGTGCGGGTTTTGCGTTTTCTAAAAGGTAATACAAAACGACCATAAGACAAAGTAAGGGGGTAAAAACAACGGCGAATTACGTTTAAACGTTAAACCAGAAAACGTTTAAAACGGTGCCGTTAAATTCAAAATTTCTCAAAATCCAAAAAAACCAAGCTGGTTCAAGTTTTATATTCAAAAAAAATCCTTGTTGACCTCGACGCAGAATTTTATGATTCCGAATATGTATTCCGTTTTTGCTAAATGACAATCTGTCAGGAGTTATAAGCGTTTAAAGTTTTGTTAGGAGTCTGAAAATGTGGTCATTTGGGTCTTCTTGCGGCCTCCTAGCCGCATCCTAATGGCCTCCTAGCCGCATCCTAATGGCCTCCTAGCCGCATCCTAGTGGCCTCCTAGCCGCATCCTAATGGCCTCCTAGCCGCATCCTAGTGGCCTCCTAGCCGCATCCTAGTGGCCTCCTAGCGGCCTCTTTCCGGACCGGATCCAACACAGACGTGGCCGATTGGTACAGGGCTTCGCTTCCAGAGCGAGACCTCATTAGTTCGATCCCCACCTTGGATTTTGCCTTTGCTTTTTTCAAGAAGTGCTGACTAGTGTTCTTTGTGCACTTAACAAAACTTTAAACGCTTATAACTCCTGACAGATTGTCATTCAACAAAAACGGAATACATATTTGGAATCATAAAATTCTGCGTCGAATGGCATAGCATTTAGCCGACTCAGCTAGTTGGCTATCAGCTAGTTGGCTATCTGTTAGTTGGCCTTCCCTTGTTAGTTGGCTATCTTTAGAGATCTTTACAGACCTATTTTTAGCGCTCTTTTTATCTATGAAATATTAAATTTTTTAAAAAAACTGTTTCATCCATCATGTAGCCAATAAAGGAAGGGATTTTTTTTGCTATAAAACTTGAACCAGCTTGGATTGTGAGGAATTTGACGCGACTCTTTTGAACGTTTTCTATTTTAGCGTTGTTTTAACGTTGATAAATATACTTTAGATAAATATAATTTAAAAATTTCTACAAATTCTGAATAGATTGAGTTTTTTTTTTAAAGCTTGGGAGTATTTGTGAAAGAGTTTTCACTGAAATGGCAATGGGAATTAATTGGGTTGAAAAAAAGCCGAGAACGGGTAATTCAATCTAAACGATTTCGTCTTTTTTTTCTTGGAAAACAAATCATGAAAACAAAATTAGTAGAAATGTGAAATTTTTAATGTTTAAACTTGTTGAAGTTGATTTAGAGACATTTCTGTAACTCAAGCTTTAAATAAATTGTTTATTTTGTTATATATTGTTAAAAACCTTTTTTTGAAAGTACAGTACACTTATAAACAAAGTTATTATAGCTATTTAATAGTATTTTGTATACCGTATTTTCCCTAATAGAAGTGCACCCGGTCGAGCCGAGTTGGTGACTATTTGACGGTTTCTAAGCTTTTACAGAAGCTCAACACTCTAATCACCAGCTAGATCTCATCGTCAGCCACATTTTCCGACCTCACATCAATAGGTTCTGATAAGCGGTTCTCGAGATTTCGAGGAATTTAGGCGACGCTCTGGGTGCACTACTATTAGAGAAAATCCGGTACTTACGGACACTGATTGCTTCTTTCTCACTTTATTTCATTTCTTGAATTACCGTATTTTCCCTAATAGTAGTGCACAGCGCCGAGCCGAGTTGATGACTATTTGACGGTTTCTAAGTTTTCACAGAGACTCAACACTCAAATCGCCAGCTAGATCTGATCGTCAGCTACATTTTCCGACCCCACATCGATAGGTTCTGATAAGCGGTTCTCGAGATTTCAAGCAATTTAGACGAAGCACTGGGTGCACTACTATTAGGGAAAAAACTGTATTAATAAAGTATTATTATCGAAATAAATTACCAGTGATGCATTCGGCAGAGAAATGATCGTTTCAGCCGTTTCCAACAGTGAGAATCTTCTCATCGCTGGCACAAGTGACGTCATCGTTTCTGGAAAAGCACGAAAATTAATTGAACATTATAAAATAATAAGTAGAAAAGTTACAATAATCAAAAGTTTTAGAATCTTAAAGAAACAGTTATTCATTGATAAAAACGTTATTGAAATTGATGATTCCACTGATTTTCGTTTATTATGGAGAGTACTTGGTAGTTGATACTTGAAACTTGATAAATCTTGTACTTGTACTTGATAAATCAAAGAGTACTTGATAAATCTTGTACTTGTACTTGATAAATCAAAGAGTACTTGATAAATCTTGTACTTGTACTTGATAAATCAAGGAGTACTTGATAAATCTTGTACTTGTACTTGATAAATCAAGGATTGGCAAGTGCTCACTAGTCAGAAATTCACTATTTTCAGCTTTAGACTCAATTAATCTACTTTGATTGTAAAAGAGGATTCAATTTGACGAAGAGTAGTCAATATCGATGGTATCAGGTAGAAATATGTCAAAAGTACTGTATTGTATCAAAAGTACTATAACAAAAGTACTATAACAATAGTATTTAAATGACAAAATCCAAGAATAAAGAGTGTCATTTTTTGATGCTTCCAAATCTGCACTTCTTTCTCGTGAAACTACAGCTTTACTATGTAAAAATATAAAATTTAAGTGCGTTAGAGGCAGTGCGTTTACGCTCTTTAGCACAAAGTACAAGTCTTACTCTAAATATAGAATAAAATAGAAGATAAGTACTCAAGAATTGAAATGATTCACTCTGACGTACGATTTTCGATGAGTTTTCAGTTTAAAAAGTTTCTTTGAATAAAAAATTTGTGAAAAGTGAAAGATAAAGCAAAAAATCTTTGAGATTTTCTTTTAGCCGTTCCGAATTTTCCCATGAATCTCTTTCAAAAAGAAGAATCAAAAAGAAAATAAGAAAATAGCTGAACTTTCACTTTTTCACTAAAGTCATCTCTTTCTCTTTCTCTTCCTCTTTCTCTTCCTCTTCTTTCTCTTCCTCTTCCTTTTCCTCTCCCTCTTCCTCTTTCTCTTTCATCTCTTTCTTTTTTTGAAATTGCGAAATTGCGAAAATTTTCAGATCACGCAAGATATCCGGAAGAAATTTTGGGAAGATTTTGTCAATGACGAGGAAAATGAGTTCTTTGGATATTCTAGGATCTTTTTGCAGAAGATTTTGCAAATTTTTAGCAAATTCACTTAGTGCAACACTTTATCGTAATCTTGTCAACCTTTTTTCTGATTATCAGCTACCGTAAATACTGTAATAGTACCGCACCCCCATAATGACGGTGCGGAGCGTTGCGTAGTCTAGCTTTGAACGAGTTTTTCTCGACACTGGTTTATGCTACAATGCGCGCTTAGGTATCAAAAATGCTGTCAGGGCTTTTTGATACCTAAGCGCATTTAGCACAGGTCGGCCGTTCAAGCTACATCGCGCTTAGGTATCAAAAAATAGCCCTGAATTTCAGCTATTTTTTGATACCAAAGACGCATTTTTTGAAAGTACGGGCGCTTTGAAAAAAATGAAATACTAAAAAAACTTTCGCGACTACGCGACTGTACGAGGCGAGTGGGGTACTATTACAGTATTTACGGTATGTAAATTGTGCTTGAAAGAAAGAAAGAGTACAAAGAAGGCTTTGAAATTCTGGATTGACACATTATTACCATAATGCAGCTTTATCTTGTCAATGTTAGTTGTTAAGTTTCATAAGTTGAAGAGCTGGAAAGGTGGATTTTGATTTTTAAGCCAAAAGTAGATCAAGTTTATGAAAAAAAAATGAATCAAGTGTGCTAAAAAGGATGCGTTTTCGAGCACAAAGTACAACAAAAGTACAATAAAAGTACAGCAAATGCTTTAATTTAGTAAACTAAAGAATGAAATTAAATGAATGAAAGGAAAAGCCTTAAATGAATGAAAAGATGGGTATAAGGAAGGAACAGCTTAGGGAAAAGGAAAAAGAATCAAAAAGAAAAGGAAGAAAAATGGGTGTGAGGGGAAGAAAATTAGATCTCATCTATCCAAAGAACGGCCGCATGGGGCATTGGGGTAAATAGTGAGGATGAGGCCATAAATGACCCCTTTTCCGACCAAATATCAAGATAAATATCATCAAAACAGACATTCAACTGAATGATCTTGTTATGGTTCTTTTTGCATATGGATACATCTCAAAACAAAAAAAAGACATAATCAACTGGATGTTTATGCGACTTCGCACGCCTTTTTCCAGAATATTTGAGATATTTTTGGAGAAATCAGAGCTATTTTTGGTGACAAATTTTTCCTTAGCAGTTTTTCTGAAAAGATACAAGGGTTTTGAAATGATTTTAGATGATTTTAGATGATTTAAAATGATTTAAAATGATCTTAAAATGATCTTAAAATGAATTTAAATGATTTTAAATAATCTTAAAATGATCTTAAAATGATTTTAGATGATTTAAAATCATTTAAAATGTTCTTAAAATGATTTTTAAATGATTTAAAATAATTTTTGCTTTTAAAATGCAAAACTGATTCAAATTTTTGGGTGTCAACTCAAGTTTTTTATGGACTTTTGTTATTCATTTCGCAGAAAGTTTTCCCCAAAACTTTGTACTAGTTTTCAAGAAAAGATTTAGGGCTATCGAATAACTATATAGTAGTTTCGTTTATCTTTGAATTTACATAAAATTATCTGTAAAACGGTAACGGCTACGCGACTTTACGCCGAAAATCGTCGTCGGGTGGTCGCGAATTTTTTAAAAGTCTTTTATCTGTTAGTTATATTGAAAAAATGAGCAACAAAACCAAAAACTGGTTGCTTTTAAAGTTAAAGCTTTAAGTACATACCGTAAATACTGTAATAGTACCCCACCCCCATAATGACGGTGCGGAGTGTTGCGTAGTCTAGCTTTGAACGCGTTTTTCTCGACACTGGTTTGTGCTACAATGCGCGCTTAGGTATCAAAAATAGCCCTGAATTTCAGCTATTTTTTGATACCAAAGACGCATTTTTTGAAAGTACGGGCGCTTTGAAAAAAATGAAATACTAAAAAAACTTTTGCGACTACGCGACTGTACGAGGGCGGTGGGGTACTATTACAGTATTTACGGTACGAATACTTTACAAAAAGAAATTTACAGAAAGAAAAATTTAAATTTGAATCAAGTGAGTGTAAAGTGGCGTCTAAAGGGTTTTTTTTAATTCAAGAAAACTACCGTAATCCGCACATATTCTAGAAAAATAATCTGCTAGTTTTCATTCAATCAGCCGAATTTTTGAATCATTCGTTGAAGAATCACAAGAATTAATCAAAATTGAGCTGATTAAATGAAAACTGGTAATGAAAAAACATGAATTTTCCAAGACTTTACTCTAGACATCACAGCATACGGTAAAGACAAGACTAGAGATTACGATGTCTCTAATCTTAGCTGAAGATTGGTGTATAGTAGAAAAAGTTGTTCACAAGTAGATTCACAAGTAGATCATGCATTTCTGAATACCTGATATGATCGGCAATCTTGCGTCAATTTGCATCTCTAGACTCCGACGTTTAGCGTGAATCTCTAGAATGAGGAGTTTGTTGAAAAGATTTTCTTTAGACAAATCAAATACCATATTTTGATATGTCTATAAAGAAAATCTAATAGAAATTGACAAAACGGAAGTGTTCAGCTTTACTGAAAATGCGTAAATTTTTAACATGGGAAAGGATTGGAAGGGAAAGGAGTGGAGGGAAAGGAGTGGAGGGGAAAGAATGGAGAAGAAAGGAGTGGAGGGAATGGAGAAGAAAGGAGTGAAGAAGAAAGGAGTGAAGAAGAAAGGAGTGAAGAAGAAAGGAGTGGAGAAGAAAGGAGTGGAGGGGAAAGGAAGTTCTTTAAGAAATCTCTGGATTTATGAGCTATTAGTGGGAACAAATGTTCGAATAAACGGGAATGAAACGAATTATTCAGTCATCCAATATCAAATCCCATTCATTCAATTACATAGAGAAAAGAGATTCCCACCCACTTCCTCATTTGTGCAACGTTTAGTGGAAAGGAAAGGGAAGGGTAAAAGGGGGGTGGAATTGAATGAGAGTAAAGAACAACTAGAGAATCTTGACTTGATTTCGAGTTGAATGAGTCTAACAATGAGCCTCTTGTCAAAGTCTAACAATGAGTCAATGTCAATGTCTAACAATGTTAATGAGTTAGAGATAAACAAGTAATCTGTTTTCTGAAACTGTATCTCTGTTTTTCTGTTTCAAAAGCTACCGTATCTAATCTGTCTGTCTGTCTGGAAAGCTACCGTATCCAATCTGTCTGTCTGTCTGTCTGGAAAGCTACCGTATCCAATCTGTCTGTCTGTCTGGAAAGCTACCGTATCCAAGCTGTCTGTCTGTCTGTCTGGAAAGCTACCGTATCCAATCTGTCTGTCTGTCTGGAAAGCTACCGTATCCAAGCTGTCTGTCTGTCTGTCTGGAAAGCTACCGTATCCAATCTGTCTGTCTGTCTGTCTGGAAAACTACCGTATCAAATCTATCTATCTAGAAAAAGCCCTAGAAAGGGGAATCATAAATTTTTTTTACAATTATTATTCAATAATTAGGTAATCATGTAATTGTTGAAAGCTAGATATAACTTGAAAGCTTTATTCTAGATATCTGAATATTTCTAGAAGCAAAGAAATTAACTAAGCGACGAATAACTAAAATCCTTATTATATTTATTAATCAAATTCTTATTATTATTAAAATAAGGATCCAGATTTTCAGTTTAAAATTGATGTAAAATCTCAACTGAATTTGACTTTATTTTTACTATGGAGAGACAAAGAAGTTTACTAAAGGAAAACGGAAAAATTTGGTGCCACTTCCGGTAAAAATTCAAAACAACTTGTTATTGAAAGTTGAAAAGTTTCGAATAGGAACTATGTAACGTTCAAATTGTCGTTTTTTTTAAAAACATTTTTGCAAACTTTCTTCATTCAGACATCAGACCGTATCTAATCTGTCGGTCTGTCTGTCTGTCTGGAAAACTACC